CAGCACTACACAATTCTTCATTTAGTTCAGATTGTCAAAATACCCAAGAAAACCTTCAATCTTTTTTTTTTTAAATCAGATATTACTGAATGTACAAATATAAATTATTATTAGTTGGACCATTTTCACATAAATTAAAAGAAATCTTCACAAATGAAAGTTACTTTCACTTCACTTAGCATTTTAATGGAGTAAGGTGATAAGATTGATAAAGGTATTATCCCTTTAGTATTTTGGTCCTTTCTAGGACATCTATTTTAACATCAAGATCAGTTGGCAATTCTGCACCCACCTTATACAGGAATCATTGTTATTGTTTTCATATAGTTCCAAAGTAAGTTCCTGATCTACCTGTAGAATTATGAAAAGTAACCAATTCAACAAGCTATAACAAATCATCATACTGTGTCTTGGGAACTGTCTTAAGAAATGGGGTTACAAACGTGAATGACACAGCTGTGATCCTTCTTGCTGTGGAACAAATTCTCATGGAACTTAAATTCTAATAGGGAAGATACAATTAAGCACATTAATATAAACAAGGTGTTGCCATATTAACAAAGGATGGAGTGAACAGAAGGCTTAACAGAAGTGCTGGTGACTTCAGCTGACACCTGAAAGAGCAGCCAGTTAGTGGGATAACGAGAGGGACAGCCTTCCAGTACGTGAAATTTGGTATGGAATAGAACAATTGGTGCAGTGAGTGGAATAGGATGAGGCCTGAGAGGAAGCAGGGAGTAGATTACACAGAACCTTTTAGGTCAGGGCAAGGTATGTGGATTTCACTCTGAGCACAATGGAGAGTTTTAAGGAGCGAACAATAGAATCATTTCTCGTTGAACTAATGCTTTGCATCAAGCACATGAATCCTAAGGGGCCTGCACAGACCGTTATAGGGCAAAATACCCCTGGTCAAAGACAAATTCTCATCACACCCCAACTGGAGCAAAGTTTGCTGAAGAAACGTCTCTCCTCAGTGCTGAAGGAGACAATACCCTCACAGTGCCAACTGTGAAAGGCCCTTGAATTGAGAAAGATGCAGCCATGCAAAAACTGACAACCTAAAATGAGGAAAAAGCTAAGTTCTGAGGGGCCAATGAGCCCAGGCAACCACTTGGAGGCACAAGCTCAATTATACAGTAGCCACAGGTGTTTAAGGAAGCATTTCAACCACAGAAAACAAAGAACTCAGCATTTCTCACCCTCAAAGGCTGGGAATCTCATCCTTTCTTAGTCAAAACCACTTCTAGCAGAATCTTTTTATTGCAAATGGGAGAACTCACATTAATTACGCTTCAGTACCCATTTTTGGTAGTGATGACACTGAAGTATGGATTCTGTTATGTGTTAGTTTTCTAAGGCTTTCCATAACAAAGTACCACAAACTGGGTGGCTTAAATAAGAGAAATTTATTGTCTCATAGTTCCGGAGGCTAGAAGTCTAAGATCAAGGTGTCAGCACAGTTGATTCCTTCTGAGGGCTGTGAGGGAGAATCTGGTCCGTGCTTCTTTCCTTACTTGGGGTGGCTTGTTGTCAATTTCAGCATTCCTTGGCTTGTAGAAACATCACCCCAATCTCTGCCTTCATCTTCCCATGGCATTTTCCCTGTACCTGTATCTGTGTCCAAATCAGCCTTTTTTAAAAATAAGGACCCCAAACATATTGGATCAGGACCCACCCCAATGACCTCACTTGAACTTGTCTCTGCAAAGCACTCTATTTCCAAATAAGGTCACATTCTGAGATGGTGGGGGTTAGGACTCCCAACGTATCTTTTTCGGGGGGATACAATTCTATTCCTAACACCTTTAATCACAAAATTAAAGGTCAAATAGCACCTAAACTCTGAGCTCAAAAGTATGTCAAATAAGAAACACCAGAAATAAAAATTTTTCATTGACTATTTCATGTTTTCAGATCACATTTCTCTGCCAAATAAAAAACAAAAACAAAATTAAAGGCTTGGGTTTGTTATCCTCTAATGAAATGAATTACTTTCAATAACTACCACATATACGGAACTTTGCTGCTGCTAATGGCTGAATTTCCGTTTTATCCAATTGGTTAGAACAATTTTGGAGCGATTATAATAAATTAGAAATCTTTCACACCACTTCTTCTAAAGGAAACTTTTCAAAGGACCAGATTTTGACTGTGTCCAAAATATACTTCTGTAGTTGATGAAAATTAGGAAAGGTCCTACATATACCTGTTCATATGACACACTTTTACCTTTTTTTTAAATTTAAAATTAACAAATAGGTTCTGTATAAGTTTACCTTTTGCTCTCTCTATAAAGTAAATCTTAAAAGATTTCATCAGGTGAAGATTATCTGCCACTAAAGAAATAAATGTACAAAATATTGGGTCACCACTTCATATTAAAATCAGAATAATCAACAATAGAGAATATAACAAAACCAGAATCAAAAGAATTAGAGAACAGATATTCTGGTTTACTGAAATTTGAAGGAACTGAAGCTAAAAATAAATGCTTTTTGTTGTACCCTGGTTGCTTGGTACATTTCCATGCCTTTTAAAACTTCATGATGGTAAATTATGCCTTGTACTATCTTACACCCCTTCTAGCAATCCATTGTCTCTAGAGCTAGGTCATCTCCTCTTTACAAATTGTTTTTCTGAATTAACAAATCCCTTACTTGAACTTATTTTCCAATGATTTTCATTCTGAATGTGGCCTTAGCCCTCCGCCCCTAGAAACTCCACTAATTTTAGAATTCCATGAGTATCTCTGATCAAAGTGGGCAGAAACACAAAAATTCCTTACAAATTTTATTCTTCCTAAAGTTTTCAAACATAATTTAAATATTATCTGCTTTCTAGGCATCAAAAATAAGAACCTGTTAATTTTAATTATTTGACCACAATTACTTCTTTTATCTAATAAGGTCTCGAAGTTATTTTACATAGTACTTACTATGCCAGGCACCTTTCTAAGGGCTTTACAGATAATGGCACAACATTTATAGGCACTCTTATTACAGATGACAGATGAGGGAACTAAGGCAGAGAAATAACTTGTCTAAGGTTACACAGTAATTTTGGAACTGAGATTCAAACCAGAGTAGTTGGGATCCAGAGTCTGTGTTCTCAATAACATGCCATACTGCCATTCTTGAAATAACACAGAGAATTTTTTCTTTAGTCATATTTTATGAAAGACAAAGCAAAATATAGAAATTTGAAGTTTCATTTCAGCAAACACCACTGATTAAGCTTTTACCTTATGTAAAAGTTATCTTATACGTAGCTTTCAGAGACACACCTATAGTGTAACCACATCAATTTTTTTAAATCCTAAGAACAAGGACTTAACTCACATTTATTTTAAATAAGCCTTAGAAGCAGAATTAGATTGATAAACAAAGGTCATCTATTGAAAAAGTGTTATTTTACATCCACTTTGGATATTATATTTTAAACTAAAAATGTAGAGAAGCATATCATTTGCCAATATTTTTAAAAACCATGTCCAGGTACAAATCAGTTTGAAAGTTCTTAAAAATTAATGAATAAGCAAGAAATTTTCCCTCTAGTATTTAACCATTACTACAACAACCTTTGAAGAAAAATTTCTAGTGAATTTTGGACAATAAAAACTATAAAACCAGACTGTTGGCAGGGGAGACAACAAAATCTAAGTTAGAAAATTCATAAACATACATTTATTTAAGAAATACAATTACTAGAATCCTTGATATTTCAACGATCATTCCACATTATAAAATATTCACAACACGTATTCTTTTAAGTCTATACCAAGTCATGCTGACATTCTTTTCAGATGTGCCATAATCACTTCTATTAAATGTGATAATATCCATTTTAACTGTAAACAAATCACTTGAGCCAAACCACTTAAGTACTTGAGCAAAACAAACTTAAAAAATTTAGAAGAGGAGAATTTAAAAACAACAACCAAAAAAAAAATGTATTTAAATCATCAAACTCTAAAGAACTAGGCTGCTATAATCTATCTAGTACTACACTAATAATATAGTGGCCATATTAAAACAGCACATAATTATCAGTGACAATATTTCTCATTTGCAATTTTTAAACATGCTTTCTCAAATAACAGACACTTACTTTTGTAAGTTTTGAAGGTAAAGGGGGCAGAAAGATGACAGATGTTAAAAGTTTACCTTTAAGCTACTGGTAGAGTTAAAAAAAAAAAAAAAACAGTAGTCTGTAATTACTTCCCAAATAAAAAATGCAAAGTACCTTTTATTCCTAAAGAAATTACTAGAAAATAAAACCAATCATTAAGTAGCTGCAAACTGAATTACTCTGATACTTCCAAACAGAGTCTAGTGTAATTAGATGATTTTATAAAGGTTCTCAACCCTGGGTGTCCATTAGAACCACCTGGAAAGCTTTTTTTTAAAAAAAAAGAAGAGTGATTCTGATTTAGTTGTTATGGGATAGGACCCAGGCATTAATATTTTTTAAAGCTCTACATTGCGTTCTATTATGCAGTTAAGGTTGAGAACCACTGACTCAACCATTTTGAAATACCCAGAAAATAAATGGAAATCAGGGAGGGGAGATAATTTACATTCATAATTTATAAATCAAACACCGATATACTTACCATGTGCCTAGTTTTATTCATAAATCATCCATTTATAAGACACAAATTCCCTTCATTTCCTCACTATACTAGACCACTACTGTACATCTTTGCCACCGAATGATTCAATTTTTTATGGTCAAAATTTAAAATTCTAGGAATACTATAAAACAGCATTAATGAAAACAAACTGCTGCTACTAGTGCTCAACAGTAGCAAAGAAGACTACTGTATTTGTCTCCTGTAAGCTATCATTTCTAAGAATTATAAATAGGTGCCAACCCACACAAAGAATGGATTGTAGATTACTGTAGAAGGAAAAAGAATAGCTTACTCAACTTACCAAGTGTCAATACCAAAAAAGATTTAACTTGGCTGAAAGTTCTGAAAAAGCTGAGACATCAAATCAGGAAGCTATAATTTATAACGAAATGTTGATACATCCTTAAAAGCTACTGCAGCTATAGCTGTACTAAAATAAGATTTCTTCAGGGTTTACTTACCCTGTAATGCAATACAAGCATAACAACATTACTGTTTTTATATGCACCAATACCTCTTTTTAATACATAAAGCTCTACAACAAATACCTCTAATAATTTTACAATTAAATTAAGTCCATATTTCTATACTACTTTGGTCTCAACACTTTAAACACATCAATTAATTTTGAAATTATACAATTTAACAACATGATCCTATCAATAACAAGCACATTTTGTAGTGGACTAAAGATACATTCAACCATGCAATCCAGTGTTCAATACCTAAATGATAAATAACAATGCTGATTGATTTTTATTCTGAAAAATCATTGAAAACTGGAATAAACTTGTAAGACCCACAGTGCTCACAAACATGCAGAAAAAGATATACATTTCTATTCTTCCTGAAGGAATGTTACAAAATGCCCACTTTTTTAAATGCAGGGTCAATAACTATGCCAAATTCCTTACATACTCCAACACATTATCTTGCTAGCATCTGTCACTTAACATGTTTTAAAAAGAACAAATGTTCTTATAATTTGTGACTGAAAATGAACCTCAACTCTCTAATTTCAGCCTGTAAGAAGGCCTCAGTGACAGTCATACACTAATAGCTGCCTTTTAGTAAAACAGTGACATCCAGTGGACAAATGATGTAAAGTATCTCTCAAAATTCCCATCATATTTGAACTGTAAAGATTGCTTCTCTAAGTCCAGCTATTTTAATATACATAAATTCCCACTCATTTGACAGTCTGCAGATTCTTATGAATACATAACCTTATAATTTCTATGTATTTAAATGTATCCTTCTCTCTTCTTCCTACTTAAAATCAATTCTTCAAATTGAGCTAGTAAGAATGTATAATTCTTGAGGCTAGTGAGGTTAAAAGTATTACTTTTTCATCTTTGCTTCTGCTATTTCCTACCACAGACTAACTGGCTCATCACTAGGAATGGACCAAAATATAAGAAATATATTTAAATAAAAATGAATAGCATTAAAAAAATTCGCAAAAGATGAAATCTCAACCTGTTTTGCATTTACAATTTAGGGTATATTGTTGAATATAAAGAGATGCAATCAGTAATGCTAACGATCAAATTACATCATTTTGCTTCACTGCGTAAATATTATGAAAGAATACATATTTTAGCAATGATTGTTTCAGTGTTTAAAAACTTTTATAAATCAGTATAAATGAATATCAGTTGTACATTATGTTTAAAGAAAAGTAAAAAATTCCCACGGTGCTGAGTTATGATTTACCATTGATTCTATATATTAAGTGTGTGTTCAAAGTACAAAATGTAGCAGTGATGTTAACAGTGACAATGTAATGAACTGCTGTAAGAGAGACTGCTATGTTTAATTTCTTGGAAAACTGTAAAGAAATTTCACAGGTTAAAAAAGAAACAAAAACAAAAAGAATTAGAGAACTGTTACTTTTAAATAAGCAGCCAAATGAAGAAAATTTTTTCTTCTGAAAAAAGATTAAGAATGTAAAAGTACATTTTAATATTAAAAAAGCATTTTAAAAAATCTGTAACAACTGTATGACAAAATCTGCATTTGAAAAAGGCCTGTAAAAACAGCAGGACAGAATTGCCCTTATCACCTTTTACTTTTTCTTGTCAGAAAAAAGGGCATGCATCTCTGGAACCATAAATGATGTTAAAATAGGCATTTATAAAATGGCAAGGAGGATTTCACGGGAAATTTCTGGGGGTTTTTGTTTTTTGTAGCCATCAGTAGGTCACAAGTAAAACTTCTCTACCTAAAAAGCAAAATGCAATATAAAGTTTTGAACTGTGTTAGGTCTGTTGCCTGCGTTTTGCTGATCTCATTTTTTCAAAGCGTGACTCCATTTCTTCTAAGACTTTGGGTGTATATCGTACTACTAATTTAACCTTTCCTTGAGCGGCTTTCAGCAGTTCCACAGCTTTTTCGTGATGTTCTCCTTCAACGCTCTAGAAAAACAAACACAAACACACACACATAATTAATACCTAGGTTTTGTAAGTAACTCAAAATGCAAAAATGTTTAAAATACATATAAGTAAAAAAGTTTTGATGTTATATGATTTCTATATTATAAAACTAAGATATAATCCTGATTTATCATTTTAATCAGTGTGAAATCCTCTGCTACGTCATACTGTTTACAATCTAGGAATTGGTTTTTAAGTTCCAAATAATTAGCATATCACCTGCATGCTTATTATTTCACTAAGTCAGAAGTAAATAACAATTGCCATTCTATAAAAGTAAATGAAGATTGACTTCTAACTTAATGTATTGCCTTAACTACTAAAAAGCTTAATTACATCATAAAAATCACACTAAGCACTACTAATTTACACTGGAAAGATGCAAAACAATTAAAGTGCTTTAAGAAAAAAAAAAAGGATCATTGCACTAAATCGTACTGCCCAGGATTCCCTCAAGGGATTTATAAACTACAAAGTGTCTTAGATTTTTCCCTATATCTTCCCTGTTTCTGTAACTCAAATATACCCCCAAGTGGTCACAACACATTACTACAAACAGAAATAAAACTGACGCTTACCACTCCATTAACAGAAAGGAGTTGATCTCCTCGTTTCAGACCCCCATGTCTATCAGCAATTCCACCTGGTATTATTCGAGATATATAAATTGGAGAGTTTTGTTCTTTGCCTCCCATAATATTGAATCCAAGGCCCTCTTCTGTTTTTGGTAGCTCAACAACTCGAGGATGAGAATGTCCTTCGCTAGCAGCAAATGCAGCAACAGTAGCCTGAAAGAAAATTTTACATGTTTAAAAACATGCTTTTGTTTACTTCAGTTCTTTTGTCTCTTTTTTAAAACTATTTTTGAGGCACATATTTTTGATGTTTAAATGCCCACAAATTCACTGGCAGTTCTGAGAAGGTAAGCTAAGCAGAAAGTTTTTCAGAGATGACAACAGAAAAGAATATTCTGGTATTATGTAGAAAATGTTAAGATTTTTCTTGTCACTCCTAGCCCATCCAGTGCCCAGAACTTCTGTGCAGTCCTATGTGCACAAGCCTTGGCAAGCAGACTTGCTGGGCAGATGAACAAACACTGTACACATGAAAGAGTGGAATCTCTCCCCCAGCATGCCAGCAGCCCTGAGCTTTAGGGTTGGATGGTCTAGCTCCTTCAGCGACCTTTGTGTAAGACACGACCTACCTACATAGTCCACATGGAGGTGTCCTTATATGTAGTCATTTTGGCTGCTATCCTATTTGTGCTATATACTAAATAACTAATACATCAAGAAATTAACTCTATATTGAGAAAAAGAGGAGTATATATAGCCAACATTTTTTTTTGTCATTGTTTTAACTAGTTACAACCAAAAACCCCTGCGGAAGACGAAACAGCCACATCATCTTTAAAATTCAAATTTAGACTAATGTAGACTAATTGTAACACAAAGTTGTGATTTTCTGTTTCATTTTGCTTTTAAAGGTAAGTAGGTAATCTGGTACCATTTTTTCTGATAGATCAGGGTGAAAAATAGGAGAAAGGAAGAAGAAAATCAAGATCTGTTGAATACCCACTGTCTTCAAAACTCTGAAATAGGCCTTGTTTTATGAATAATGGAACTAAGGCTCAGAAATTCAGTATGCTATGAAGGTCATATAACTCAGTAATTAAAACCAAGTTTCTACAGTCTTTTCTACTCTGACAAACTATACCCACATGATTAAGTGTTTGTATTCAACAGAGAATCTGGTATTTCCTTTTGTGAATCAGTAACTACCAATGAAAAATTACCTGTTAATGACTAATTCTAGATATTAACTTATTCTAACCACATATGATAAGTATTAAGATGAATGCCTGAATTATCTCAGGAAAACACCCGTACAGAGAAGCACACAAACATGCCACCTGAAGTTCTGAAGAGGTCACCTACAACTGACATTAAACCAAATTTACAGAGTTAAGAAGAGAACAAAAGCAACTTAAGGGAGGTACTCCAGCTCTACCATTTACTATTTGTGTGGCTTGAGGCAAGTAAATTAATCTTGATGCTTCCTCATCAGTAAAATGATAATTATTCATACCTCAGAATTCTGATGAAAATTTACATAATTAATGAGATTATATTTACACAATACGTATAACATATAATACAATTATGTATTGCATGATATGTACATTACTGTGTGCAAGTGCATTTTCAATGCATTATCTAAACTGAATGATAAAATACCTTATGTAAAACCCATAATGTCCTATTTCTTAGTACTTCATAAGTTTAGCAAAGCTTGAAAGATTCTATATGTCAGTTTTCAAAATAAGCTTATTAATCTAATAACTGCATGTTTTAAACCTCTAATTTATAAAGAATTCTCACTTTTGATAAATGCAAAAATTTACCTTTGCAGTTGCATTAGCTCTCACTTCAGGACTGCTACTGATGTCCACAGTCTCATAGACATGTTCATATACCTGTAAAATCCAAAATTATCATATTTTAAATCTCAGAATGTGCCATGCTTGAGTTCTCTGTGAAGTTAATGAATGTGTTAACTTTTTACGCAAAGGCAAAGTTATGCATCTTTGTAAAATGTTTTTCTATTAGAAATTCCAAAAGTGAGAGGGATGGGTTCTAATGTTTTTCTAAATCTCTTTTCCTCAAATTCTGAACCCAAATTTCAGAATATTATCTTACCTAAACTCAAACTTTTTAGTAAATCTAATCAGATTTACTCACCTCTCTCACAGCATTGCAGAACTCACTTTGAAGGACTCTTTGTAAAGCCTGAAGTTTCTGTGGTGGTACCTCTCCACTCCTTTGTAGTTTTTCCAACAATTCAATTGCTCTACAAATATCTAGAGTTAAACAAACACATACTAATAATTTTCTCTGAGGATTCTCCAAATGCCTGTGTACCAGTGTAGCAGTTAGGATTCATTCCTTAAGGACTAACAAGAAATATGTAGAAGACAGAGGAGGGAAAAGCATGAATGTGTGTGTGCATGTGCGCATGAGGAGCTGGTGGGAGGAGACTGTATGTATGTACCCAAAAGAAAGTGTGAATGTAAAATCTCAGAAGAATGTGAAACTTTACAGTGGATTAGGAAAAAAATCCTGATATTGCAAAAGTATAAAATTTGGAAAATAGAATCTTTGAGAGACAGAGGCAAATTGAATATAAAATACTAAACATCACAGGAAAGGACCGGGACCCAATTGTGACAGACACACGAATATTCCACTGCTTCAGAAAAGTTGGCAGTATTATCAGGAACTACTTAGTCAATTAAAATTTATCTAATATCATTATTAGTAATCAAACAGTGTTCAGTGTTCAGGACACCATGTGCTAGTGAAATCACTGTTCGTTTCCCAAAGAAAAACTTTATTCATATGTAGATATGAACTGTTCAATTAAAGATGCCGGTCACATTTAAAACAACAGTTTAAAGGAATAAAATTAACTGGTCTCTTTTCAACCTAGGATCATTAACACAATGTTTTAATTCAGACAAGCGCAATCAAATACATATGTTTACAAAACAGAAAAATAGAAACAATTAGCTTTGTCAATCTGGTCTCAATACCAGCTATGTGATCTTGGGCAAGTTACTCAACCCCCATGTCTCAGTTTCTTTCACAGTAAAATAGAAATAACAGTACCTTCCTCATAAGAGTTACTTGATGACTAAACCAAACAATACATGACAAAGGATAAATGTTATGTTACATTAGCACCAATTAATCATAAGAAATATTCAGGGGTTGCATACATTTATACAAGTATATTAAACATGTTATGCAATTCCCACTGGGAAGTGTGAAGAAAAGTATTTTATGAATTAAGAAATTATAGAAGGTTCTGTAGGGCTGGCTTGTTAGCTCAGTTAGTTCGAGCATGGTGTTATAACACCAAGGTCAGGAGTCAGGATCCCTGTACTGGCCAGCCACCAAAAAAAAAAAAAAAATTAGAAAGTTCAGAGTCATGTTACAGTACTGTTAATGACTATCTCTACTTTGATTTTTTTAAAACTGTTTTTGTACCCAGGGGCTAGAGTACCTACTAATCCTTTGCCTCCTTTTGACCTAAGTGGAAGAAGTTCTTAACTTCACATTATATTAAAGGACTGGAAATTTTTCTTCTATATGGCTTCTTTGTGTTTGCAGAATGAAAACTACTAGTAAATGAAAAGAAAGAAAGCATATTTTTCAATTTCAGGTAATAAAAGCTTAAACTGATGTTAATCAAATACAATGGAAACAGACCTGCCGCATTATGATTTTCTACCACCCAGAGTGAATGGTAAATGGGGACTATTGGTTCACTAATTATTTTGATTTACAAAGTGAGAATATGTAAGCCATATAAAACCTTTCAATTAACAAAACTATTTTAAAAGGTAAATACTCTTCACTAAATGTAAACTGTAATTAGTATATGCTCAAATTTGTTTCCCAGTGAATCATGTTTTGATGATTTAGAAGGCACTTGGGATCTTGATCATATGCACTAATGCTGTACTGCAGACCTGTCGGGAGTGTTTGTTAACAGAGTCTACTAGAATTATGAATAAGAATCAGAGTTGATGTAATCTGACTTTGTTATCCTGCTAAATGGCAACCACTAGTAATTCCTCCTACTAAGATGCTTTTGAGCATTCTACTATAGAACTGAAAAGAACTCTGAAACATCAAAAAATAAAGCCATGATTACCGAAACTAAATGCCAGAGGTGAAGTTCCACATTTTGCACTGCACTTAAAAATACAAGACTGCCAACGTGTTAGAATCCTACACTAGCTTTAAAGAAAAACAACTACTCCTTTTAACATCAGGTTTGTTCCCATCTACAAAGCACAGTGACATTGTGCTCAGGGGGAAGATGTCACAGTGTTGGGCCTAACTTAGCTGCTACTCCACTGTCATAAAATGACGCTTTAATTAAGAGCCTGGTGAGCTGCAGGGAAACAATCATTTATAAAGAGCCTTCCAAATAGTGAACACCATAAGCAGCAAACAATGTTAAGTGCACGTTTCTGGGAAAGCATAAGGAAAGGTTTCTCTAAGCACAATAATTCTAAAAATCCATTTCCTTCTTAGAGGAGGATATTAATATTCAGACAGTAATTGCAACATCAATATGTGCAAAATAACTTCAATCTCCACCCTATCCTTTTTTACCATAAGTACTCAAAATACTTTGTACTTTTTGACTTTATCAATGACTTCTAATGCTGACGTGTCAAAAGCACGCTTGAAATTGTTTGAAATAAAGGATTCGAGAAAGATAAAATGGAAAGTCGTTAATCTGTAACAAGACCCATATAGGGGCATAGCCTGATATTTTCAAAGGTTTCTCGCTCTCTAATTGTTCAGCAAAACAGGTTTTATTTCCTTGACAGCCTGCTCTAAGAAGCAACCGACCAACCTCAGTTTGCAACTATAAGATTTGTAAAGAAGGAATAACATTGCACCTGCAAGTGTTTGACAATCTACCAGTAGTCCGCCTAGTTACGTAATCTCCTTTTCAAGACCAGGTCAGTAAGATTGTTTTTAAAACACCCTCTCGGTTCCTGAGAGAGGCACCAAAGCTAGGAAATACCCAACCCAGATAAAAGTGAGGTTGTGGTGAAAGTTATGAAGGAATTTGTGTGTAAATATGGGGGAAGTTTTCTGTGGGGATGTGGCGGGTGTCCGGGAAGCGTGTCATCTGTGAGTAAACGCGGGGACTCTGGGTTTGTGCGCGCATATGTACAGGCAATGAGTGTAGTCTGCCTAAAGAGGGTGTGTGACGTTTGCTTTTCGGGTTTACAGGTCTCTGAATGCCGCGTCTGCGGTGCCCACCCAGCAGCGAGTGTGCGGCGTGTGTATGCGAACGCGGGCAGATTGTACTCAACTGTGCTGTGCCCCGCGACAGCCTGTGCCAACAGAGGAGGGGTCTGGGTAGCGGTCGAAAGACCGTAAGCGCCCTCCCCGGAGTCGGGCGCGACGTCGGCGATCGCCGGGGCCAGCGCGAGGTACAGCCTGGCTCCGGGTCTCGAAGCTTAGGCCGCCTCTCCTCTCCTCCAGCGACACGGCATTATCCCCCCCGCCCCCTCCATCCACCTCGGGCCGGGCCGGGCCACACTCACCCCTCTCCAGCCGCACAGGCTCCCCGAGTGCCGCCATCTTCTCCCTTAGCCTGCAGACCCACAGGAAATGACGACAGAGGGGCGGCGGTGGAGGGGCGGGGCCTAGCGGGAGCTGGAACAGCGAGGGCCGCTCAGTATCGCGAGAGCAGGAGGGGTGGGTTGGGGCCTTCGTGGCGGCCTCTAGAGGTGAAGGTACTTGGCAGTGCGGCTTGTGAGGTTGGACGTGCTCCGCAGCTTATGCGGTCTATTCTCGAGTTCCCCAGCCTCCTAAGGTTGGAAAGAGCCCTCTTCCGGACTCTGGCTGCTTGCCTTGCCTGGGGCTACACTCCTTATCCCACCCGCTTGCAACCAACCCTTGGCTCCACGTGGAAGAGTCAAGTCGTCTGGATTCTAGTTCCAGCTTGACCACCGCCAGCTCTGTGACCCTGGACTGCTACTTACCCTCTCGCGGCCTCAGTGCCCCCATTTATGCGACGAGAGCTCCTATCTCCGAGGTCCTCTCAATTTTTAAACTCTGGGATTCGTTGACAAGTGTGTAAATGACGTATTGTAAATTCTCCTTTTGTGGCAGTGTTGCTTTAATTTTAAAAATCGAAGGCTCAAATCTTCCCTAGAAATCTGTTCGAGAGTGAGGGTGAAAAAAGTACAAAGAACACAAAACATACGTGCGTGAGGGAGAGAAGGAGGCATTGTGGTGCACCACAAAGTAACAATTTTAAGAAGCTGATTAGAAATTTATGTAAATGAAATATTATGAAGCAAATAATATTCTTAATGCATTAAAGATTTTTAGGGCCACTTCTGAAAATTTCATGAACAAAGAAACAATTTTAGTCCCTAACTTAAATGAAAAATTAATTCGCTCAATATTTGGATTCCACTAACGTTTATCCAAGCCTTTAGTTGGTGCTAGTATTTTGTTAGGTGTTTTCACATCCAAGTTTTCAGCACTTCATCACAGGATTGTTTTATTAACCTCCTGATTGCCCCTGGCCACCCTTTCTATTCTACTTTAGTATTTTCTTCTGACCCATCACCACTCTGCTCTTTTTTTCCCCCTTGAACCCTGATTTTATCATCACAAGTTCTATTCAGAAATTTTCAAGTTTCCCCATTTGCTATTTCTAAAGCCTTGGATACTCTGACCCTAACTCATTCAACTAACCTCATTCCTCATTACCCCTCCAGTGAAGTGCAACTATCACTCCAGTCAAGTGATATATTCAAAACCATGTTTATTCCTGCTTCCAAGTCTTCATTTATGTTCTTCTTTCATGGAATGCCCTTCTTCATCTCCTCCTATTCTCCAAACATTATGCCCACTCAACTGAACCCATTCTCCAGGTCTCTGCGGAGGACACGTCAATTTTAAGCCTTCCCTTTCTCCATATTGTTCTCCTTGTTTGTCCTCTGATGTCCCTAATAACTTCCAATAGCACTATGCTATCTCTTTTTGTTGCCACTTGTTCTGCCACAAATGTGTTTGAGAAATGTTTATTAAATAAATGCCTAATGTCTACCAGGTGCCTTGCTAGGAATACCGTGTGGAGTGAGACAAGTGCAGACCTTTCCTATTTCTTCACATATTTTTCCTTCTGGATCCTCCTGCTTCCCTCCTTTGGTGACAGTGGAGTCATGGTTATGTATATGTACTAAGTGTACATGTATGTTCAGCCACCTGACATTTTCTCACAGCTCACTGATGCTCTGTTTATTTTGTTTTTTCAAGCTTTTTTCTATGTTTTCTTTTGGATTATTCCTATTGCTGTGTCATGTTCACTAATTTTTTTAAATGATATCTATTATTCTCTTAATTTCACTCAGTTCATTTTTGGTCTCAGACATTGTTCTTTCTCTAGCAGTTTGATGTAGGGGTGTGTGTGTGTGTGTGTGTGTGTGTGTGTGTGTGTGTGTGTGTTGTACATATTCTACATCTATATTTAACATGCTCAATATTTCCTGTACCACCTCAAACATCCTTGTCTACTAATTCTATCATCTGTGCTATTTCTGACACTGTTTGTATTGATTTTTTTTTCTTTATTATGGTTCATAATTTCCTATTTCTTGCACGCCTGGTAATTATTTTCTAATAGGATGGCAGGCATTGTGAAACTTACTTACTTGAAAACAATTTTGTCCTTTTGAGGCTTGATTTTAAGCTTTGTTAGGTGGAACCAATTCAATGTTTTGTGCAGAACTAATTGTATCTCACTACTAAGGCAATAGCCTTCTAAATTCTTTACCCCATGCCCCATGTGAATGATGTGGTTTTTCTACCCTGATTGGCAGGAACAGGAACTGTTCTCATGAACTGGGATTGTGGATTGTTTACTTTGCTCCTTTGGAAGGTCATTTCACTGTCTTTGGTAATTTCTTAACACACATAATCATCGTGAAATTTCCGAATTCCAGGGATAGGTAGAAGATCCCAGAAGTTTTCAGAGAGAATAAAAAGTCACATTCTAAGGACTGGGAATTAGAACAACACTGGGAGCTAGGACACAGGGACCTATTAAATTTTTAGAAAAAATTATTCCCCAAATAGCATTTTATACCAACTGTATTAGTTTTCTAGAGCTGCTATAACAAAGTATGACAAACTGGGTGGCTTAAGACAACAGATATTTATTGTCTCACAGTTCTGGAGGCTAGAAATCAGAAATCAAGGTGCCATTCTCCCTCTGAAATTGTAGGGAAATCTTTCCTTGTCTCTTCCTAGCTTTCTGATAGTTTGCTGACAATCTTTGGTGTTGCTTGGCTTGCAGCTGCATTACTCCAATCTCTGCCTTCATTGTCACATGTCATTGCCCTCATGTGTCTGTCTTTACCTAAACATCTTCTTATAAACACACCATATTGGACAAGGGGCCCACCTCAGTCTAGTATGACCTCATCATAACTAATTACATCAGCAATAACCCTATTACAAAATAAAGTCACATTCTGAGGTGCTGGGGGTTAGGACTTAAACATTTTTTAAGTCATAGGGGGGGACAGAATTCAACCTGTAACACCAAGCAAATTATCAACCAGGTGTGAAGGTATAATAAAAAATATTTTAGACATATAAGTTCTAAAAATTTTGACTTTGCACACACACTTTCTCAAGAACTACAAGAAAATGTGTTCCATCAAAATTAGGAAGTTAACCAAGAAAGAGGTAGGCATGTAATCCAGGAAACATGATCCACTACAGAAGATATTAAGATGATTTCAGAACGATTGTTGTATTAGGGTTCTCCAGAGAAACAAAACCAGTAGAATGTATATGGATATATGCAAATAGGTTTATTATGAGGGATTGGAGTAGGTGATTATAGAGGCTGAGAAGTCCAATGTTTTGCTTTCTGCAAGCTAGAGACCCCACCAAGGTGGTGATTAATTTTAGTTCAAACCCAAAGGCCTGAGAACCAGGGGAGCAAATGCTGTAAGTATCAGTCCAAATCTGAAGACCTGAGAACCCAAGTCCAAGGGCAGGAGAAGATGGATGTCCCAGTTCCAGCAGAAAGAGCAAACACACCCTTCCTCTGACTTTTTGTTCCATTCAGGCCCTCAATGGACTGAATGATGACCACCCACATTAGTGAGGGTGATCTTTTTTACTCAAATTACTGACTTAAATGCTACTCTGTTCTAGAAACATCCTCATTGACATACCCAGAAATAATGTTTTACCAGCTATCTGAGAATCTCTTAACCCAGTCAAGCTGACACATAAAATTAACCATCACAACCATGAAGGGAAGTCCAGAGTAACAGCTATGCAGCTGGTCTGCAGAGCAACCTGTTCATACTGGAGCAGGGCAGAAAATTAGGTGGGATGACACCAAGAAAAAATGAAATTTACAATTAACTAATGTGGGTGACTATAATGATTACACATTTATGCCTTTGCATGGAGAGTTTAGGGATGAATTGGTGATAGGAACACAGAAAATTAAGCAAATGGGGGGAAATGAAGCTATTATTAACTCTAAAGAAACCAAAAAGTTGTATAAGAAAGGAAATATAATGATAGAATACAAGATGGATCAGATGTATACAACATATCCAGAGAGAGTAAATAGAGGTGACAGGCAACTTTTATTGGGGGGTGCTATAAACTTTGTAAAGCTGTTTGACTTTTTAACAAGATGCATTTTAAAAATAAAAATTAAATAAAAATTATAAAAATAGCAATCAGAATTTTTTCGGTGTGGGTGGCTGGCCGGTACAGGGATCAAACCCTGGACCTTGGTGTTATCAGCACCATGCTTTAATCAATGAGCTAGCTGGCCAGCCCAAATCAGAATATTTTAAAGAAGATAATATTGGATATATTTTATTTTGAAATCTTTAATTTGTGTTAGTCTCCTGTTTTCAATTTTTTTTTTTTTTTTTGTCCTTTTTGAGACCGGCCACACTGCGCTCAGCCAGTGAGCGCTGCGAGTGCACCAGTCATCCCTATATAGGATCCGAACCCGTGGCGGGAGCGCTACTACGCTCCCAGCGCCGCACCCTCCCAAGTGCACCACGGGCTCAGCCCCTATTTTCAATTTTAAATGTTTGCTCTAGGGCAAGTGATTTTTAATTAAAAGGCATAAGAGAACTTGAGTGTAAACACTATTTGAATGTTTTGAAAGAACAGACTTATTAGGTTTGAAGTAGTGTTTAATGATGAGACAAATTTCATTTGTTAGATTTGTAAATCTGCATTGTTTGGTGTTTAAATTTCATTGAGCTGTAGTCACTCCATTGGTTTGCCGGCCTTGATCATATACTCAACTATGCCTGGTAGAGTGGAGGTGATAGTTAACCCAGGGCAATGATAAGCCTGGGAGCAGAACATTTCCCTTAGAAATGGCAAAGGCACAGCAGGAAATGCATTTGGCGTGTCTGGTATAATATATTACATAAACATTTACAAAAAGTTTTCCAAATTCCCTAGGAATAGCAGCCCAGCATTATGGGAAAAGCACTGGATTAAGTATCAGGAGCTCTGGTTTCTAATCATAGCTGGATCTTGAGGATATCACGTTCTCACTCTAGACCTGTTTCTTCATCTGTCAAAACCA